CTAGTCGCTCAAGTGATTTGTGCGTATATCAGCTCGTAAAAGTCACTTTTTTGATCACTTTTTCATCTCTCTCTCTTTCTCTCTAAACATATTAAAATCTCAGATCTCCTTCCTCTCTCGCTAGAAAACATCTTTAAACCTCAAATAGACCTTGATCTAGTGGTTTCTCATCCCTTGTCCTTTGAAGAAAAAGGTAGAGCTCACCTAGAGCTTCTATTTGATCAGAACAAAGTTTGTTTTGGGCTTCATCGAGTTTCAACTCTTGTTCTTCTTGGTCCTTGTCTTTGAGGTAGGGATTTCTCCACACTTAGTATGGTTTTTAACTTAGATATTTGTCTTTCAAAGAAATCATGGGATTTGGGGATTTTGATAAAAAAAATCTAGGGTTTTGGTTTTGAAATTTAAAAAAACAAGGTTTTGAAATGGATTCTTGAAAATGATTTTGGGTTTGTAAATGTGGTTGAGTTGTGATAAAATGATGTATTTTTATTCTTGGAATTGGTGGATAAAGAAAATGGGATTTTATCCTAAAATGTGAATATTTGATTTTGTACAGAGGAAATGGAAATGATGTTGGATTTTGTGGAATTGGAATGATGATGATGATGGTGGGGTTGGATATGTATTATCACTCCCATCTTGAGATTTTTGAAAGTATATCTTTGTTGGAAATTATCTATATGTTTAGAGATATCTGTTTTAGGCTATCGGTAGAGGATAGCTATGACTGTTGTAAAAATTGCATTAGAATTAGGAGAATTGAAACTAATTTCTCATCCATTTGCATAAAGCATTGTTGCATATTTAACACATTGTCTATTGTTTTGACAAAAATAGGTGAATATCTTGGTGAATCTAGGTAGGGGTGTAGTTATAGAATTATGTTGTCCTGTGTGTCCTTGGTGAAAGTCCATAAACCCGCACAGATAGATGCCGAGCCTTCCGGTTAGTACCTATAAAAATGGCAATTGATAGTACTTGTAGCCTACTTGCGGACACGTCCTAGAGATTCTCAGTGTTGTATCCACTACCCCGTTTTTTATTTAAAAGAAATGATTTTATGAATTGTGATATAAACCTGGCATTGCATGATTTTTGGAAAGATATATAAAATGTTTTGGCACGAGCATTGCATAATTTTTGGAAAGATATATAAACTGTTTTGGCACGAGCATTGCATATGGATTCATGTTATAGCTTTGTTATGATTCATACATTGTGATAGAGTTTCTCTACTGGGCTTTGGCTCACCCTATGTGAAAAATCATTTTCAAGTGCGATGATATACCTCCGCCAAGGTTGTAGTTTAGGAGGACTTGGAGCTAAGAGCTTCTTGTTTTGTTTTTGTTGTATTTATTTTATACAAGCTTGGGAATTTATTTGTATTGAGTTTTAAACTCACTTTTTGTTGTAACCAAGTATGGACTTGGAAAGTTGTAGCCCTTAAGACATTCATTTATTTGTTTTGCTCTTATTTCATATCTTTTGCATATGACACATGTTATAGATTCAGAGTTAGGGCTTATGAATGTGTAATTGCATGTGCCATCTTTTGTATGACTAGATCATATGAACTTAAAGAGATCTTAATGTATCGTTAATTGATAATTATTGCGAGATGGTATTATTGTTAATTATTTCAGGGTATTACAAAATGGATGGGGTTAAACTGACTCACGCCACTACAAAGTAAAATAATTTTTTTGTAAACTTAAAAATTCAAAATTCAGATTGAACACATAAGTTATATACAAGTCTCAATTCATTTTAATTTTAAATTTATAACACTTAATCTGAATAAAATTAAATTTGCCCAAATATGATTAAAAAAAACCCTAGTGATTGAAATCATACGTTCTAATTCATGATTTTTTTTCTTAATATGTAGTTAAAAAAATTGTAATTATGTGAACATGACATTGAAAATAAAAAATAATAAAAATGTTAAAAATTGAAAACAGTAATAAAAGAGAATATAAATCAAATACTTGTAATAATGAGAAGAATAATAGAAGGATCAGTTTTTTTTTGTGCTCCCCGTATTGATTTGACTCCAAGAAGAACTCTATACACTTTCAAAGAATAAGACTTCAGCAACTCTAAAACCCTCTTTATTTCTTTATTATTTTTATTTTTTTATTTTTTTTGGTCTCTTTCTCATCAGAAAAGAAAGTAAATTTTAAATTATATTATTTTTTTTCTGTTTTCAATTATTTTTTTATATTTTTTCTAAAAGAAGACACCAAGAAAAAAGAGTGGATACCACTTGACAAAGCTGAGGAGCCAACTTTCATAAACAATTATGTATTACTAATATCAGATTCAAAAGTATTATATACTAGTATTTTTGTTATTATTATTATTTGAGCAGGCCGTGGCACTTATTATTTCTTTCATCGGCTCATCTTTGTTTTCAATAGTTAAAGTATGTTAATTTAATCTTTAATGTTTATATATATTGGGGATCAGAATAACACAACTTATACATTAAGGGCCAAATTAAAACATTTGTATACATGTGGAACCAAATTGATACAATTTAAACATTGGAAACTAAAATGACATAAAACTTGTATTTTGAAAACTAAAAATGTAATTAACCCTCAAATTTATATAAAATTAAATTTTAAATATAAAATATGCATTGCATAGGTAGAAGACTGGTGTTATGCATGTTCTTTAGTCTTTTTTTTGTCTTTTGGTCTTGCTCTCCGTAGGGCTTTGGTGATGCATATGATAAATTGATATATGTGCCAATTTTATTGGGATATGTTTTTTAAGCATTAATGCTAGTTTTGCCTTCGCTTCCTTTTCTATTGATGTTTTGCATACCTGTTGTATACTGTTTACATCAATAATATTTCTTTGAGAAAATTACAAAAACAATTCTAGAGTTTTACCCTTATGACAAAATAAATCTTGAATTTTGAATTTTACACATTACAAAAGGATGTGAGATTTTTCAAACCATTCCAAAAGGAGTAAAAAAAATTCCTTAGTAAGTTTTGGGTAAATGTATAATTTCAAACTATAAGTATTACGTTTGGAAAAAGTACACTAAGGAGTTTTTTAATTTTTTAATTTTTTTTTTGTGTTATATTGGAGTGTGTTACATTGAAGTATTACGTTTAGAATTACATTGATTGGAGTGTTGTAACGCCCCAAAATAATTACAGTAAAACCATCCATAATATTAATAAATAATCATACATTTCTAAATATAGTGCCCCTTCTAGTCCATATGGTCTCATAGTACAAAAGATAACATATGCAATTATACATTCATAAGCTCTAACCCTGAATCTATAGCTTGTGTTACATGTTAAATATATGAAATACAAGTTAAACAATTAAGAAATGCCCTAAAGGCTTACAACTTTCTAAGACAATGCTTGGTTACAACAAAATGAATTTAAATCCAATACAATTAAAGCCCTAGGCTTGTACAAAACAAATACAACAAATTAAACAAAGTGAATCTCTTGCTTCAAAGTCCTCCTATGTTATTGCCTTGGCAGAAGCATATCATCAGCACCTGAAAATAGTTTTTCTCACATACAGTGAGCCAAAGCCCAGTAAAAGTAAGTCAATACAATTTATGAATCTTAACAAAGATATAAGGTGAATGCAAATACAATGCTCGTGCCAAAACATTTTCATTTCTCTTTCTAATATCGTGCAATGCCAACCATATATCTCAAGTCATGATAACGTTCCCGTTACAATAGAAAACAAGGCAATGAATACAACACTAGGACGAGTCTGCAAGTAGGCGACAAACACTACCAAATTGTCATTTTTACCGATATTAACTGGAAAGCTCGACACCTATCCGCTCGAGTTTCTGGTCTTTCACTAAGGACGCACAAGCCAACTTAATATCACAACTACAATCTTACCCAGATTCACCAAGGTATTTACCCATTTTTCTCAAAACAACAATATTTCCATTGTGTTAAATATGCAACAATGCTCAATGCAATAGATGAGAAAAATAGTTTCAATTCTCCTAATTCACATGCAATTTCTACAACAATCATAATTATCATCCACCGATAGCCCAAAACAGATATCTCTAGATAGATAAATAAATTTTATAAAGATAAACTTTCCAAATTTTCAAGATGTGAGTGGTAATGCATATCCAACTCCACCATTCTCATCAATACCAATCCAATTGCACATTTCCAACATCGATTCCATAATCTATACAAAATCAACATATGATGTATTTAGGGAAAAACCCTCATTTCTTCCAAACTAAATTCGATGTATCAAAATCAACCATTTTATCACAGCACAACCTCATTTCTAGTTCCACAACCATTTTCAAGAAGCCATTTGAAAAATTCCTCTTTTGATTTTTAAATCAAAACCCTAGGTTTGTTGAAAATCCCCAAATCAAAATATTGTTTTAGAAATAGCAAATAACCAAGTTAAAAATCATAAGAAAGTGTGGAGAATCCCTACCTCAAGAAAAAGATCCAAAGGAGAGATGGGTAGAACTCAATAGAGCCTAAAACACAAACTTCACTGATTAAAACGAAGCCCTAAACGTGCTCTCTCTTTTTAATGAACGGACTAGGGTGTAGAAATGGGTAGATCAAGGTGCATTTGAAGCTTAGAGATGATTTCTAGAGAGAGAGTGAGTGTGTACATCTGGGATTTAGAGAGAGAGGAGTGTGAAAAAGTGACTCAAAAAGTGAACTTTACGACCAGATATACGCTTAGACTGCTCGAGCGCAAGAAGTGACACGAAACTTTTTACGACGGCATACGTTGTCGTCGCAAAAAGCTTCTTTTTGCGACGGTTAATATTTTGTCGCCAATGGTCACTTATTGCGATGGTAATTTCTGTCTCAAAAAGGAGGAAGCATATGTTCAATGGTTTTTGCGACAACAAACCTATGGCCGTCACGAAAGGCTCATTTTTTGTGACAGTTCTTCCCTCCCGACAAAAATATATATTTTTAATTTTTGTTTTACGATGGGCATCATTGTGCCGTCACTAATAGCCCCAAAAACACCCAAAATTCCCAAATTCTCAAACGCTTGGTGCCTCTGATACTTTCATTTTTCCCCTCTTTCTCTATCTCTCTCTCTCTCTCTGTGTATCGCTTTCCATCTTCCATCTTCTAGTTCATACACTCACTCTCTCTCTCTCTCTCTCTCGCTCTCCATCGCCATCTTTCACCTACGAGTTCACTCTCACCGGCATTAGTTTGTTGATCCACCTTCACCAAGCCGACATCGTCGCCCACTCTCTCTCAATCTGGCCATCGATCTCGGTCAATACATGGATATCACCTCTTTAAGAGCTTTAGGAGTCTTCAACGTTCAATCAGTACCTCTCGAGTTATTGTATCCGAAATTTGTATATTTATTTGCAGTTTGCACTCATCTATTTTAATCTCTCTTTTACTTCCTTGGAAAACCCTAGAGTTTGAAGGTAATAGCTCTCTCTCTCTTTCTCTTAGTTTTGATTTAAGAATTTTGCGTTCGATATTTGTATCTACACAAATAATACAGACTATACACTTACAGCATACCTTCTCCAAAACTAGTAAACCAACATTTTTTCCCATAACACAATTCAATAAACTTTTCCTTTACAATAATAATAATAATAATTACAAAGAGAATAAGAGTTGTAATATTCAAAGCTGCTGCCTTGGGGTCTCCATTGTTGATTCTATTTCTGGGGAATCGTTGTCCACCCACTGGGTGCTCGACAAAATGCCTCTTTGACATACTTTTTTTGTATAAGGATATGTGGTAGGGATTATGAAAAACTCTTCCAAAAGGGTGGTTAATTAATTTGCATAAAATGAATATGTGATGGGGATTACGATAAAAACACCTCAACGAACGTGCATGAACAAACTCTGAAATGGTAGTAATATGCGTCATGTGAATCGGTCAGCACATGTTTATTGTATATGAAGGTGGTGGTTCATCTACCTTAATCTTGTTTGAGGCTTTTATGGTTCTAAAATTAAGCTTGCAATCCCATGACATGGAAGTCCTTGAGTGACTATTTGTGGGTTTTGGTAGCTACGGTTTTCTCCTGATTGTTACAATTATTATAAAGCTTACCATTTATGTAGAGATCAGTGTTTCTGGCAAGATTATGGCTAATTGAGACTTTATACATATTGTATGCAAATTTCCTTGATGTAGTTCTTTTGAAGCTTCATGTGTTATCCATTGAGTCGATGAGCAAAGTGTGCTGACCTCTTTACTATGCTGGGAAGTATGAAATATTAGCTATTAGCCCTGCTACCCTGCCTTGCCTTGCTCTTTTTTTTTTTCTTAATTTTTTTTAATACCCGCAGAATTTTTATGACATATGTCTGCGAAGGTCACTACAGTATCAAAGCAAACAGGTAGAGGAGGTTACCTTCACAAACTGGAATATATAGAATTTCCAATTATGTTTTCTATTCAGAATTCATTTTGTCCTTTCAGTCTCAATAAAGGTACCTTGTCATCCCTTGGTTTGTTGTATTGTGTATTGTTAAACGTGATTAATTTGATTGATTTTTCGATGTTTGATCTAGTTTTGTTCTTGCCAATTTTGTTATTTTGCGTGGTGTGAAATTAGTTTGTTCCTTACCTGACTATATGCATCTTTTTTTTCTTATTATGAGTTTGTTCCCTGCTTGACTGTAAGCCCTAGGTATTGGACAGATTACAAATGTTCCAGCATGCATTAGATAATTTGAAAGTTGTGATGTTTAGGCAACTATTCTCGTGGCTGCAACTCCCAATGCATTATTCAATACTCCCGCAATGACTTTTTCTTCTTTTATTAATTAGAAAAACAAAAATTCATAATTGTGATTTCCATTTAATACTACTAAAAAATTTGACAGATAACAGTTTAAATCAAAATTATTTAGTAGTCTTGAAACATCACTTTATTTTAATGCTATGTCTACTTCCAAGACTCCATTAGCTATTATTAGATACTTATCCTCAGCATGAGATATTATTCTCATTCTCATCCTCATTTTGATTTTATTATACAAGTAACAATGTTAGGAACTCACAATATTTACCTAGAAAAATACTGAGAAAGAGTATTCAATGGTTAAGATGCATTACAAAGGAATCCACTATCCAAAATTCAATCTACCCCATCCACTATTATTTTGGGTAAATTTTCTAGACTACTTCTATGGGTTGATAATTTTTCTACTAATTATGAGCAATACTAGAAGCCTGTAATATTTACCCTAAAAAAATACCTAAAAAGAGCATTTAATGGTCAAGATGCATTTCAAAGATCGGTTCGATTATACAAAATTCAATCTACACCATCCACTATTATTTGGAGCAAATTTCCTAGAATTTTTTTTTTTTTTTTGAATAATTATATCATGTGTTACGGGAATTTTATGTTGGTAATGTGCCCAACCAATAGAAGAGATCTAAAGAATTACATGACCCTACAAAGAAGAAAAAAATAGAAAAATAAGAGTATAATATTAGATAGGCACACAATCACGTGTTCTTCTTGACTCATATGATAATTTGGGGGTTTTTTGGTTGGTAGCTTTTCTGCTGGTTATAAAAGATTATAACAAAACCTAACATAACATAACCTTCGCTCGAAGCAGTCTCAAAACACACATTCCAATAAAATATGGGTATCAACAACAACTACTTGAGATTGAGAGGGGCATTGTTTTTTGTTATTGCATTGGCCTTTGGAATCAGTGGTGGGGATACTCAAAATTCAACAACTCTTGTTCCAACAATCTTAACATTTGGTGACTCTACAGTAGATATTGGGAACAATGACCATATTCACACCATTTTCGAAGCTAATTTCCCACCTTATGGCAGAGACTTCATCAATCATAAACCAACTGGAAGGTTTTGCAATGGCAAACTAGCCACTAATATCACCGGTAAGATGTTCAACAGCATGAGAATATTGGCTTTGTCAAGTTCAATCTGTGTATCAAATCTAATATTATTACTTAATTGTCACTTTAACCTATCTCTACAAGTTCAATTTGTGTATATCTAATCAAAGATCACCTTATTCTTGGTAAAGAGGGAGGACTTATTGGTGATTCATCTCCTGATTATCTTTGGTGCGTAGATCCCTTAGGTTAGACTCTCTTAACCCTATGGTAATTAAGATTATGTATACATATTCACCAAGTTCCTCGAATGGAACTCAACTCTTGATTCGTGACTTATACTTCTCTAAACTAGTTGTGAATTATTTAGTAATGTTACCGTCGTAAAACTTTTACAACATGACAAGATTTTAATATTGTTTGCTAGAAGTTGTTGATTCATTTTCAATTATATATCATAATTTCTGTGGTCAAATTAGATGACTTGCATAACCTATTTTCTGTTCCTTTTGAAACTTATTAGGCTTCTCAAAATTCTAAGCCACAAGACTAACTTATTGGCAATAACTTTTTGTTTCTTGTTTTCCTTTTCGGAGTGTAGGAATGCACTTTAGTTGTAGTTTTTAGATTGAATTATGTAATCTTTGTAAATGAATAAAAATTCTGGAGAGGAAATTTTAATGACTAAAAAAAATGGGAAATGAGCTGCTTCTAAAGAGCAATATATAAGGTGTTTAACTGATTTATATGTAAGAAAATCTTCTCTTTTTTTTTTTTTTTTTTCCTTCCACACCCTTTCCTCCTCCCAATCCCAATCCAATAATTTCTTCCACACCCTATTTTAAAAGTTCCTAATAATTTGTCTTTTAAATATTATGTTCGATCTTGTATCTATCACCTAGCATTTTTGATTTCCTTTGACATTATGGACCACATTTCTAGTTTCTATTTCCCATTTCTTTTTTCGTATTGACAACTTTTCTCAATTCATAGTGGATGCTGACACTTAACTGTTACCTCATTATGATTGCTGATAATTCCTTCATATTGAAACATGTTATCTTCTGCCTTCTTGAATGTGCTTCTTCACTTTTCTGCATTTACTTCTTATATTTGCAGCTAGTTTTCTGATGTAAGGCCATTTGCCTTTGATATTTATATAGATGGGACAACAAATTTTGCGCGTTGCTATCCTAGCTTTGCAGTCTCTGTGGGAGTTCTGTATAACAAAAAGCCGGCTGCTGGTGCAGTGGTATATAATCACTTACCTTTATAGTCTCCAAAAAGAATTTGCATAATTCTGTAACAGTCCATCGGATTGAAATTTGATATGTAAGTTAATATGGTCATTGAAGTTGTTATACTAAATGATGGTTTCCCTAGTTGATGTGTTAATCAGAATATAAAACATAGTTGCATAAACCTTTTCATTTTCTATTTTTTTTTTTTGGCATTGAACTCAACTCACCTCAACTAATTTTTGAAGTAGTTCTTGTCCAATTATTTTGTCAAAGATCAAGAGTGAATGAGTTTCTCTGTTTCTGACTTGAAGGGATGACAATCAGTTTGTGTTTTAGGTAGAATTTGTTTGAGGCCCTATGTGTTGGAATACACGCACGTTTTCTGCAATGGCTAGTAAGAAGGTTTTATCTAAACAATTATATAACGAGGTTTTTACATACCAAAATTGAAATATAAAGTTCTGACTTAATATTTGTTACTCTTTATTCTAGCTGGGGGTCCTTTTTGCAATGGGAAAAAGATTCAAGTGAGTCATACCGATAAGGTGAGTGATCATGTTATATCTAGACTATAATGTTTTATTCAATAGGTGACCTTCAATAAGACCCTTTTTTTTTTGTTGGTGGTGGATGTGGAAGGGAGACTGGTTGAGAATGTGCCCAACAACACTCTCTGTTTTACGGTGTTTAGACTTGAGGAATTTTTCCTTAAACTTTACATACTTTCAGACCTTGTGATCAGGCTCCATTATGGATTTCTGAGCACATTCTTCGTAAGTCCCTTTTATCAATTCCTTTGCCAAGCTCAGTTTATGCAAGGAAAAGAAACAGAGAAGAAAGTATTGACAACAACAGACTTTATTACAGGATAGTTCAAATGCTTGTGTATATTTCACTTCTTATCTATCTATAAAATTAATCATGTTCCTTCTACTTTTGGAAACAGATCACATTGAAAAAAATTGTGTAAAAGTGTGGTGGTTTAGAGTTGAAAGCTGGAATTTTTTTTTTCAACTCACCCTTTTTCACTTGTTTTCTTAAGTGGAGCAATCACTTCTAGTTACTGGATTTGGGTATGAACATGACGATGCATGGAGTACCAACATAGAGTTATTCAAAGAATTTACTGATGTCAACAGGGTAATAACCATTTTCTTTCACTTGCTTTGCTGATAACTTGCTTTACTTCTTACATCATAGATTGGGGTTAAAGATTTTGTGTTTCAAGTTTTTGTAATCTCGCTCTCCATTTTGACATTTATATTTGTAGGGCGTGAGAAGGCTTGGTGCTACTGCAGTGGATATGTGCCATGTAGCTTTGGGAATTTTATAAGCATATTGGGAATATCATCTAAAACCATGGGATATGGCTGCTGGTGTTTTGGTAACATCAATCATTTTAAGAAATATTTCTGATTTTTTCTTCCAGATATCAATGAAAGAACTATATATATAACAATGCCCAATTAGTACACATTAACGTGCATTTGGGAGGGGAAAGATTTTGTACACATCTAACCTTTGGCATGATGCCTAAAATGGTATCCCCAAGACTTGAAACCATAACCTTAAGGTTATTACCCCAAGACTTCAAATTCGCCTGTGCCATTTTTCATTTTCTATGTTTTACTACCTTTCTAATATTACTTAGATTCCTTATGGGTGCACTGAGTCACAATTTTTACACTTGAATTAGGAATACTCAGGTAACTATTTTAAATGACAATGTTTTTCAAGAATAGATTGAAAATCTACTAACGTAAGGTGGCTGACCAATTGCCATTTGTATTTTCTTAAAACTCATTCCAGCATTCTATTTCACAACAAATTTGGCAGCCAAGGCTAGATGATATTCTTCTCATCATTCTTGGGGCTAACTAACGGCTACCTCACCGTTTGTGTCCTTACTTCTGCTCCAAAAGGTTATAAGGTTCGTTGATTTAAGGGTTGTTTGGTTTAGCTTATGGAGCTACTTAATAGTTTATTTTCTACTTCTTTTTTTTTTTTTGAAAGTCTACTAGAGTGTTGATGCAGCTTTTGAGGCAAAAATAGTTGAAGTACTTTTAACTTTTGTTTTCTGAACTGGTTGACACACTAAAATTGTTAAACAACATCGAATGTCAACGAAACTTGACACAAACGACTAACTATGAACAAATGACTTGTAGGAAAAGACAATCTAGAGCCTAATTTCCATTTATGAAAACTTATCCTTTAGAAACTTTTTTTTCGAACTAGTTGACATACTAAATTGGTCAAACGGCGTCGGATATCAACAAAACTTAACACATATGACTAACTAGGCACAAATGACTTGTAAGAAAAGACGGGACTCGAAATCGATTCCTGATTTTGAATCTAGAGCGTAATTTTCATTTGTGAAAACTTGTCCTTTAGAAATTCTTTTTCAAAGAACAATTGGAGAAACTCTTGGCAGATACATTGTGTGACATTTGATTTATGTATATGTTACAATTTTATAGCTTGAAATTAATTATATTATAGATATGTATATATATATATATTTGTTTCTTCTTGCAAATGCTACTATTTTGAGTATCTGATGATATCTTCGCATATCGATATTGGAGCTTACTGTTGATACTAAAACAAGATGTTAATAAATATGTTTTTTTGTTTGTATTGTCGATATTTTGGTTTTGTTTTAGATACAAATTTGAGTTTTTGAATTATCAAAAAATATTAGTATTGGAGGATGTTTTATATATTTTTGTAAATAATGTTTGGAAGACACTATATCGTTATAGGCTACATATATATCAATATTTGTATATATGATTTTGCGAATGTGAATGTGAATGTGAATTTGGATGTGCATTAACAATTTGTATAGGGAATGAATTAATAAAATATATATTCATTTTATGGAAAAAAAATGTGCATTAATAATTTGTGCAGGAAATGAATTAATAAAATATATATTTAATTTATGGAGAAAAAAAATTTGCAACAGTAATAAACCGTCGCTAATGTAATCATCATTTCCTTGCATTTTATTAGCGATGGGTTAACTTGTCGCATATGCATATTAGTGCCCTCTTCAGCGACGGTTTAAATTGTCGCGAATACATTATTGATTTAATTCTATTTTTTTGCTACGTTTAAGACCATCGCTAATAATTCTTTTCGTGACGTTAACTACCGTCTAAAAAAAAAAAATCGGTGACGGCATCTTAATTCGTCGCTAAAAGAGACTTTTTTCGGTTTTTTGTGTCAGGTTAAACCATCGCAAATACCTTTTGGCACACCCTCTTCTGCCACCACCTTTTGTCGTGCCCTCTTCTGTCACCCCTCTTTTCCTGTCACTACTCGGTCGGAAAAAGTCTTTTGCGACGACATATGCACCCTTTGCAAGGTTTACAACCGTTGCAAAAGCTCCGATTTTTAGTAGTGTGTTGCTCGAGCGTCCCAACACAAAAACATGGGACTGGGATTGCTCGAGCGCAGGAATTACCACTCAAGCGAAGAATACAAACTCCCAGAAGTTTTGCAGATTGAATACCACCGCTCAAGCTCAACAAAAGCCGCTCGAGCCAACACCATTTGAGCGCAAGAAGTGTCGCTCGAGTGAAGAATACCAGCTACTAGTATATCTACATGCCTACAAAAGTACTGAGAGTTTACAACTGCCAGTTGAACGCAAGAAGAGATGCTCGAGCGAAAAAGCCCAAAATCTGGGCAATAACAATTTGGACCAACAAGCTACCAACCTATTCTAAACACACCCAAAACACTCCAACAACCAAACTCAATGAGGAAAAGGTGAAACTAGACAAGAACAACTATATGAGACAATGAAACCTAGATACAAAACATCAACAAATCATATCTAAACCAAAATCACTATACATATGCTTTATTTCCATAATTCTCTTGTTTGCTTTCTTTTTTTTTTTTTTTGAGTGTTAGATTATTATGCTTGACAAAAGTATACTAATGAGTTTTTTAGTATTTTTGTGCATGTTACATTGGAGTGTTACAATTCGAATTACATTGATTGGAGTGTTATGTTTGAAAAAATTACACTAAGAAGTTTTTTTGTGTGTTACATTGAAGTGTTATGTTTGAAAAAAGTACAATAAGGAATTTATTTTGAGAGTTTTACGTTGTTACATTTGGGAAAAATACACTAAAGAATTGTTTTAATGTTTATGTGTGTTGCATTAAAGTGTTACGTTTGGAATTACATTAATTGGAGTGTTACGTTAGGAAAAAGTATACTAAGAAGTTTTTTTAAAGTGTTATGTTATTATATTTGGAAAAAATACACTAAGAATTTTTTTAAGGTGTTACATTGGAGTGTTACGTTTTTGTTTGTAATGTGGGATTTGTTTCAAAAGGAGGAAAAATCCAAAACTTCTATAGTATAGATTGCCCAAATGTGTAATTTCAAATTTGAAGAAATCCACTTTTATCCGTTAAAAATTAAATCCAGGTGTACAAATGACTACACTTTTGTGTAAATTTCATTTTAATGAGACCTTTGAATTCATAAAAAAAGAAAAAAAGAAAAGGGAAAACTAAACAGTTTACGAAATTACATTTTGCAATTTATTAGTACTTCACCTAAATTTATTTTGTTACGAGGGTTATGAAACCACAAAACTACAAACCCAACAACCATTAGAACCAAATAGATCGCTTTAAAAAAATGAAAATAAAAGAGGGAATTGCAAAGCATAAATAATTGTTTAGGTAGCGTTTGGTAACGTTTACGTTTTTTATTTATATTTATAAAAATTTTATAAACTGGCTTCTGTTTATTTTTAGAAAAATATAAATTAAAAATGTATTTGGTTTGAACAAAATGTTTAAAAAATTTTAAAAACATAAACTAAAAAATATGTTTGTTCAAGCCTAAAATATTTATATTTATTTTTTATTATTCATGACAATGGAATCACACACATTATAAATGAAAAAAAATTAATTAAAAAAATTCAAAAAAAATTAATTGAAAATAAAATAATTGAAAAAAAAATTAATTGAAAAAAAATTAATTAAAAAAATAATTGAAAAAAAATTTAATTGGGAAAAAAATATTTGGAAAAAAAATTAATTGAACAACAAAAGATTAATAGAAAAAAAAAATTAATTCAAAAAAAAATTATTTGAAAAAAATTATTTGAAAATAAATTATTTGAAAAAAAAAATTGAAAACTGAAAGCATAAACTCATTTTTTGAGTTTACGTTTTTTTTCTCAAATTTATAAACTGAGATAACCATTTATAAACTAACAAAATTATTAAACAAGTTTTTGTGACATTTTTTAAAATTTTTGTAAATATAAACTGAAAACGGAATGATTACCAAACAGGCCCTTAGCATTTAATGACAATAGACATGTATTTTGGATTACAAGTTTACTAGAAACTTCCTTTAGTTTACTTGGAAACTTTGCTTCCAACTTCCAAGATTGATTTGAATTTTGCTTGCGCAGAAGGGGGAGCCTCGCACTTTCTTCTTCCGATAATTATGCCATCAAAAGTGCTAAACTTTAACAACAACAAAATAAATAAATAAATAAAAAGAAATATTAGGTAAATTATCAATAAATCTTAATAGTTAGATTTAATTTTTATCAATTCATATTGAAAATAAGTCTTAGTACAATCGTTACTAAAAATAATTTTTTATGACGATTTTATATATGTCGTTAAAAATTGACAATTAGTGATTTTTTTTACAATTTTTATAAATTGTCGCTAAAACTTATACTTAGTGACATTTTTATGTGACAATTTTTTCAAACTGTCGCTGAAAGTTGAAAATTAGTGATTTTTTTTTTTGTGATGATTTTTTAAACTATCGCTAAAACTTTAGCTTAGTGACATTTTTTTATGACAATTTTCAAACTTTCGTTAAAAATTAACAATTAGTAACTTTTTTTTAACAATGTACGATGAAAATGCCATTATTTATCATAGAACCTACTGGACAATAAGTTCACTTAGTATGACCTACATATAAGTCTCCCAAAAATATATTAGGAGAAGTTTCAAGAGATCTTCAAAAATAATCTATTGTGATAGACAATAAAAAATAAAAAAATAAATTATAAATATATTTCTTGAGATTTGTTTAAAATATTTGTCCATGTAATTCTAGAAATTACATTTCGTCTCTTGAAGTTTCTAATTTCATAACAAATGATCCATTTCATAAATAAATCATCAGATTAGTTAACAATTTTTAATGATATTAGTAATTTATTTCGATTAATAATTTAGGTAATTTTATCATTATATATATAAGAGAACAGTTATGAATTTTATTTTTTTAATTAATTCTATAAAATAAAAAATTCTAACAAAGAGATTTTTATAATTTTCTAAATCACAGATAGCAATCCGTTCTTTGAACAAATTTTAGGGGGTGTGTTTGTAATTTACCCTAAAATATATCAAAGAAGTTAAGCCTTTTAAGTTTTTAAAATTTATAAAAATAACGCTAAGTTATTTAAAATAGTTTTATAATTAGACTTTACTTTTGAGTTTTAAGTTATTTCTTGTAAAACCCTGTGAGACACTCAAACATATTATACTATGTGAGACATTCAAACAGTATAAATTTATAATGCTCCATAATTGGTACATTGCAACTTAGTGAATGTGATTGCATTACAAATAATAAAACACACCAAAAACTAATACAATGATGGAGAATGTTCATGACCATCTCCCTGAAAAGTTTTTCTGAAGTGTAACATTACTCTTATTCACTGTTGTGCGGCTTAGGCAGCGGCTCGTAGGAATTATTTTGGATTTTTTTTTTCATAATTCAAACTACTCAATTTTTAAATAATGTCGAGTAGTATATATATATTAAATATCAAGTTGATTAGACATCAATAGTCCCTTCATCAACTGCATTTGTATTCAGTTTAATACTTACATATTTATTTTGTATATATACAGATGAAGAAGCTATTGATATCCTATCGACTTGATTTTTTTACATGTATATTCTACTCAATGTTTCTTAAAAAATGCATGATTTAAATCATCAAAATAGAAATTGAAGTGACTCTCATAAGCCTCACAACAGTCGCTATTGTGCAAGCTGCACAATAGTTCCTTCAATATTTAATTTAAAGACCACAATTCAATAATTAGTCATTATCGTATTTTGAGAAATTTGTTTCGAGTATTAGATGATGGCTGACAAATAAATAAAAACAGGTGCCGGAGAGTATTTACTTCCCTAAAGTTTAGCTAAATGCTACTTTTGTATGTATATAATCTTTAAATTTGATTTTACTTTCAGAGTAAAACGAAATAATTCATGGTACATTATGGCGCATTTGAAAAGAGGACTGATATGGATTATCAAATAAGTTTTATTAATTTTACTTTTACATATTATGTGCATATATGCAATAAACGTCATGTTTGAATATGAAATTGTGACAATTGCTAAAAAGTGCTAACTTCACAAAATAATTGTAAAAATGATAAAAGTACAAACAGTTTATATATTAAATTGGTACAAGTAAGTCATGTACTTTCATCACTTGATTGTTATTCTAAGTTAACATCACTTTTTTGCAATTGTTTCTATAAAACTCACAATATTTCAAAAACATATTTTGAAAATTCAATCAAATAGTGTTTGATTTGGAATTTTCAAAAATTATTTTTTTAGTTTTCAATCGTTTATTTTATTTTATTTTTTTAAACTTTTTTTTAAGACATACAAAATCTGTAAAAAACAAATCTTGGAAAAAAGTCACTAAATACAAAAATATATATATGTATATATATATAATTTAATACATTTTCGTATTTTTCATATTTATTGATTTTTAAAATATTTCTTCATAAATATTATGCATTTTAAATGTATCTACAATAAGTGGATTTAAAGAGTAGAAAAATGGATTAAAATATGGAAAAAGTACATTAACAAAATTGCATATTGAAACTTAAAAAAATCTTTTTGAAAACTCAAAATCAAATAGATTTTCTATAGTTTGTACAAATTTAATCTAATTTTATTATTAGAGATAATTAAGTTAAGATTTTATTAATGGTTAAAAAGAAATTTTGAGCCTTTGTTTACTTTGTCAAACTTCTTCATAAACAAAATCAACGTGAAGACCAAGTGGGAGGGAAGAGTTATGCAATAGGATAAAAGAAAACGTTTACTGGCAAAATGTTAAAGTGTTCATTATTCATTGGTTGCCCGTAAACTAGAGGGTTTACTAGTAAGCCGTATGGAATTTAATCTCATGGCAATCTTTGCCTATAAAAACCTAAGCCCTTGCAAAATTTTAGTAAGTGTGCCCACAAATACATTCACTCACACCATGGCTTCTACTAATCATTTCCAATGCATTTTCTTGGCCTTTCTCTTTGTCTCGGGAGTTTTGTCCTCTCAAGCTTCCTCTCGCATTCTCAACCAAGAAACCATGCTAGAAATGCACGAGCAATGGATGACACGCCATGGACGTGTTTACAAGGATACCGAAGAGAAGAATGCACGGTTTCAGGTATTCAAGGACAATCTCCAACATATAAATGCCTTTAATGAAGGTGTAGACCAAGCATACAAGCTTGGTGTGAATCAATTTGCAGACCTGACCAATGAGGAGTTTCGTGCTTCTCATACTGGTTACAAAAGGCAGCCAACCAAGGAGACATTTGTCTCAAAACCAACATCTTTTAGGTATGCAAATCTAACTGATATGCCAATAGCCGTCGATTGGTGAGATCAAGGTGCAGTTACTCATATGAAGGACATAGGCCAATGTGGTAAGCGTTACATGATATATTTCTACATCTATATTTATATCAATCAATAATTTAAAATAGTGGTATATATCGATTATGGGTATCAGAAGTATCAACTGGTATACATAAAGAACTGAGTCATGTAGTCATGAATATTTTAAAATCATTAGCTACCAAAAAAATAATAATAAATGAAGAGAGCTTTGTAGTGGTCGAAGCACCTATATCGACTATAACCGAGTCATGAATTTGCTCTAAATCGGTACGTACCATGAACTAGTTGATATCAATACCATTTTCATTCCAATGGTATATCATAGTGTATCATTATTGAAATGACAAAAAATCAATAAATGATGGTCGGTAATTAAAACCATTATATCAATAATTAATAATAACCCAAGCATATTATTGTCATGCCTTTTTGTAAAATAATCACAACCATAGTGCTAAATATCGGCCGGTACGGTACGTACTGGCCGATTCGTACTGGAAAATTGGAGTGCCGATACTGATATGGACCGGTATATTGGTGAGACTGAAATTCGCAGCCGTAACGTCCGATTCTCGGTACATATCGGCCTGAATCCGATACATGCAGCGGTACAGTTCCGATACGGATTTGCCATGGCCAGTACGGATGAAATTAGAGCAGAGAACCTTCAGCAAAAGCAAAAATAATCGTCGGTTGCATATGAAATTGGGGCAGAGCAGAAAAACCTCCTGAATTTTGTGCTGTTTTATGCTCAGTTTTGCAAGTTCATTCTTTGGGCTGTTGTGCTCTATTTTGTTGTTGGGCAAGCACACCAATATGCAACTTGCAAGCTTCTTAGTTTTCCTTATACTCTATTACTATAGGTTCATCCTTATACTCTGTTACTATAGTAACATATCAGAAGGTTGAACTTACAAGCTTCTATACTCTGTTACTATTTTTGTTTCATATATCATTATTATTATTATTATTATTATTATTATTATTATTATTATTATTATTATTATTATTAAAGTCATTGGATTTAGCTAATCTAAGGATTGATTCTTGTATGTTGGGTTGTTTTGAGTTAGGGTGTGGATCACTTCCTTTTCACCCTTGTTTTGGCATGATTTTCTGTTGTTTATATATGTATGCATATGTTTATATTAATATATATATATATATATATTCTCAGTTGAGCAAGAGAAAAAAAAACAAGAAAAATAAATATTGAAATCAAAATCTTTATCTGTTAAAAGCTTACTATGTTGAAAATGAGACTAAAATAAATACGTTTCATTTAGTTGAAAATAGTTAAAAGTGTTCCTACATATCAAATTTTTGATTAAAACGTGACAAATTAAGACTAAAAGAGTCAAAAAAAAATGCATAAAATTGAGTTTTATAGGGATTGTTAATGATTTTTAAAATTTCACGGCCGCGACACCCGATTCCCGATACGTACCGGCCGATACTACCGATACCGATACTTCGCGATTGATACTGTTACGTTACCCGATACCGCGATTTGGAACTATGATCACAACCCACTTGATTATACATCCTTTTCTAATTATTAATTTTTTTTATTTTTTATTTATTTATTTATTTTTTATCATATGTGTAGGATGTAGTTGGGCATTTTCAGCAATGGCAGCTGTGGAAGGTCTTAACCAAATTACAACCAGTAACCTATTATCACTGTCTGAGCAAGAGCTCGTTGATTGTAATGTTGATAACCATGGTTGTAATGGCGGCACGATGGATATTGCCTTTCAATTCATCCGAAACAATGGTCTCACATCAGAATATAATTACCCTTACATTGCACAAGATAACACTTGTGACAACACCAAAGCAGCAACCTCTGTAGTCAAGATAGATGGGTACGAAGTTGTGCCATCTAGTAATGAGCAGGCTCTTCTGCAAGCTGTGGCCCACCAACCGGTTTCTGTTGCCATTGAAAGTACTGGACAGAACTTCCGACATTACTCAAGTGGCGTCTTCACTGGGCCGTGTGGAACCAATCTTGACACTGCTGTCACTATAATTGGATATGGAACTACTACTGATGGGATTAACTATTGGTTGGTTAAGAATTCATGGGGCTCTGGTTGGGGTGAGTATGGATATATGAAGATCGATAGAGATGTTGTTGCAGAAGGTCGATGTGGCATTGCCCTGGAAGCTTCTTATCCAGTTATCACTACAACAAGATTGAATTTTTATAGCTTGCAATGCATGCTGTAAAAGCTCTTTCACGGCATGCACACAAATGTCGTTATATGACATGCTGTGAAAAGTTGATTGTCATTTATGGCATGCAGGTAAAGTTGTAAAAAGTAATAAATTAAACATTAATGACATATATACTTTGTATATCGTATATAATTTTTTACAACATTTTTTCATGCCATAAATAATTTTACTTTTCATGACATAATTTTACATGTCGTGTAAGATTAATTTTAATATATTTATGATTTATTATGTATGTCGTATATAATATTTTACGACATTTTTTTGCATGTCTTAAAGCATTACACTTTTCACAACATAATTTTATATGTCGTATATAATCTTTCACGGCATTTTCTTCCATGTCATAAATCGTTACACTTTTCACGACATAATTTTATATGCTATAGAAGGTTATTTTTAATATATATGTATATATATATATATATATATAGAGAGAGAGAGAGAGAGAGAGAGAAAGAGCAAATTCAAAGTTCATTACATGAGTAAACTCAATATATGAACACATGATATTACTAAAATTCCCACTTAAGTACTTGAAATGCAAATTACAAGATGAAATAACAAATTATATGTACAAATGAAAGCAAAAAGATTATACACAACACAACCCAGTCAAGTCTAATTCATTATTAGCAGTAGTAGAGAGAGCTAAAGAATCAATTAACTTGGCCACTACAGAAAGGCCCTACCCCAATACCATTAGAGGGGTTCGAAGAGCAGAAGTAGCAACAGGTGCAAGTACACATTCCAAAACAACAGAAAAAAACCTAGCTTCTTTCAAAGCCAAGCCAAACTCTTAACAACTTGCAGAAAGCAAGCCAATTTAGCATCACAACACTAAAATAAATTATGCAGATTTGTGTGTGACCATATTTGATTATATATGAAATTATGAAGCAAATTACAAGACTGTGAGAAGCTTCCACAAGTAAAGCATTACGTCTCCAACCCAAAGAGGGGCTATTCTCATTTAGGATTGCCAAAGAACAAAAGTATTCAAGGAGTCAAACTAAAAGAATGTCTGGAAGGACAAAACAATAGCAGGCAGCTACAGAGTAATTTGGTAGCTATACCAGCTTTCGAAGCCTTTGCATTCGGTAAATGTTGTTGAGACTTCAAATACTCTGATAACTTCTCATCATGCTGATTCTACAGCAGTCTTTCGCTGACACTCTTGAATGCATGTGAGTTATTTTGGATGTACTCCTCTGTTGCAGCCTCTAACTTCAGCCAGACTGTAGGATCAGTCTCATCCAACTCCATATCACAACGTTCATCCACTGAATTGCAAATGAATATAGAATGCTAATTAAGAAGGCACCAATCTAACCACTTGCAGTATCTAGACTATTTGCTCAATATAAATGATGAAATGAGAAATAAGAAAGGAAGATAAGTGCACTCCTTTTTGAGGTTTGAACAAATGGCGGAACTTGTTGAATTGTATTGTTGTGTAAAGTATCAATGAGTGGAAAGAAGAAAAAAATAAATAAAAGAAGATGAAGAAGAAGAAGAAGAAGAAAAGCACAATTCACCTGGATTGAAACGAAAATAATGTATTTTAGGAAGCATTGGAAGCAATGCACTTAAAGATTCCTCCACCCGGTCCACTGAGCATGAACTCTCTATCAACACTTGCCTAGTATCCAAATAACACCATCCACCACCCTTTCGGACCTAAAATACTAGGCAAATAAATATATTGACAATGAAACAAATAGCAACTCTAAAAAGTTCAACCACAAAAATAAATAAATAAATGTTTTAAGTAGTTGTTCTGTAATTGTTACAAGAATAACCTTGTTTATACTGCAAATGTCTGTTTTCTAAAATTATGTTGCAAGGAATGTACATGATATGAATAAGTCACACACACTAATGAATATATTTGAAGTTGAAAATAATGTTGCTTTGCTAGCCATAATAACATATACATTTGATCCATATATGACCTAATGAACAGAATGATAATTTATGATTTCACCACAAAGTAACCAAGATCAATTGTAACAAAAACACAAAAATCCAGCGTTGAATAAATATTTAGCATGAATTTCCAAATTTCAATTAATGAAAGTTTTTTCAACATATTAAACTTTTTGATGTCTTCTTTAAATCCTAGAAAATATTCTGACAACTTGAAAAAGATCAAATTAAAAAATAAAACATCCCTTTAGGAAATTGTCACGACCCAAACCCGCCCCTAAAAGTTTAGTCCATGACCGGCCTGTACATAGGCCTCAAAATCGAATTTTAAAATAATATTTAACCATATATGGGGCCTTAGGCGGAAGCAATTTCAAGGAAAGACAACGTCTATTGAGCTTGTGCATACATGATGGTTTAATTGGATTTAAGCATTAAATACATTCCAAATGTGCATATACGATCATAGAATTTATATAGATCTCACACTCAGTTACATAAGACTTAATAATTTATAAGACTCTGTAGACACCCCATTTTTGATCGTCCTCAAGACTTGGACGTCACCGTTTGAACACTCGGTGATCATCCATGTTTGTGTTCGTCTTGAGTTCCCGGAGGTCTCAGCCACGCGCCTGACCTCAAGATCTCTCGACTCGACTGTTTTGTGTTTGGTTTTGCACCAAACACTTGTGTTTTTGCTTTGGAGGGAAGCAAATGGCTTGTTGGCCATCCCCACTCCTCACTGACCATGGCTTGAGGCCATCGGCCACTGTTTTGTTGCCATCGGCCAAATGTTTGGCCGGTCGGCACTATTTATGGTCGGCCGACCATTGTTTTGGCCAATTTGGCATCTTTGGCTGGCCGACCACTGTGCATCTGCTTTTGACAGATATTTTGTGCCAGCTGTGCTAGCTAGCACCCACTTTGCCCCCCCTCGTATGAAGGGATTTCACTCTTGCTTAGCTTGTTTTGTAAGCTTTGCAATAGTGATCCTCTATAAAGGGAGGCCTTCTCCTCCCTTCTCAAGGGTTAGAAGGTTGAGTTCCAGAGGTCTGCGTTAGGGTTAGGGTTTGTGTATCACCTATCTCTATATCTCTCTCTTTTTGCCTTTGTGTGTGTATAAGTGTGTTTGTGTCTTACTTTTGTGCATGAACACCTAGTGCTACACCTTTACCTTGGTTTCTGAGGTGCCAAAGGTTTGTTTTCAAAGTTTTGAGCTGGTTTTGAGCTAAGGAAGGCTGCTGGAGCTCCATCCCTGAAAGGGGTCTACAAGGGTAAGAACTTTGCTTTTTATTCCCCATTTTTGCATAGTCTTTTAGCCTACCTTGCATCTGTTTTTAGACTTTGTGTATAACTAATAAAAGTCTTATTTTTGAGTTCTCTAAATAGTTGTTTCAGGTCACTTTGTTGTTTGGGGTTGTTTGACCCCTCTTAGGCCTTGTTTGGTCCCCATTTTGTACATTTTTGGTGAGCTCCGGGACCACCTTGTTTGGGCCTCCTCACCACTAAAATCCAGAGGGATTTCAATGGTGGGGATGGTGCTTTAGGGTCCTAAGAAGGAGAGAGCCATCCCCTCTCCTTGTTGCGTTCAATGTTGGCCATTTTGTCCTCATGTGTGAGCATCTTGTTTAAGTGCATGTTGGCCATGTCTTAAGTGTTATTTGTGCTTATTTTTCTATGATATAGCACTATTTTTAATTGGTTTAGACACACCATGCATGCTTAGCATACTTGTCTTGTAACGCCATGAATTGCCTTAACATGTGCCTAGCATTTAGACCACTATGCTTACTTGTTTTGGCCTAGCTTTGTGAAGCTTTTATGCATGTTTTAGTGTGCCCAAGGTCTGTTTTTGGTTGCTCAGGTCATCCGTGCTTTTCTTTATATAGCTACCATGTAATCCCCCTTGTGAGCCTTGAGTGTTGACCCCTCTAGCATGCTTTACTTGCTTGTTTTAGTGGTTTTGCACCACTTATAGCATCATTTCAGTCCTTGTGGTATGCTTGTATGCTTGCATTTGATGCCCCTTTAATGCTTTAAAAGGCTTGTGTCTTATGCTCCATGTTTGGACCTTTATGTATGCTTCCATGTTTAGACCATTTAGATGCCATCTAGGTGCGTTTTTGGTCTTGTTTAGACCTGCATTGGATCTGTTTTAGGTCCTCCTGGCCTTTTGGGGCTTGCTTCATATAGCTTTGGTTTAAGCCCCCCTCCCTTGAGTCTTGGACATTGTTGCATGCTTGGCTTGTCTTGTTTACTTGGTTTGGCACCTTTATAACATGATTTTCAGAGCTTAGTATGCATGCCATATGTCCATGTTTGTCCCTTTTAAGTGTGCTTAAAAGTTGCTCTTCGATGCTTAAGTTTTGAACCGTGTGTGCATGCATGTTTGTGTGTATTTTGGCCTTCATTTCCTTAGCATTCGGCCACTGTTTTGGGCTTATTTGAGAGCTGCCCAAACTAGCCAAAGACCCTCATTTGCGTGTTGTTGCATGCTAGCCTTGCATGTTGTTGCATACTTGGCCTATCGCATGTGTTGCATGTTTGAATCACATTGCATTTAGCATGCATTTCCTCTTGTTTTGATTGCTTAAACATGTTATATGTCTTGCATTTTTGCATGATTCACATTGCATCTTTGCATGCTTGTTAACTTGCATACTTGTTACATATTTGCATCTTAGCATGCTTGTTTGCATCCTCATGTTGCATGTTTAGCTTGCATGCCTAGGTTGCATTTCATTAAGCATGCATGCCTTGCCTCTTGAATTGGTTATGATAGAGGTTGGGCCTCTATTGTTTGTTTATGTGCATTTCATTCCACACCAAAATGCATAACTTGGTTTCTTGGGCCATCACACATTGAAATGCGCGATTGGTGGTCCGAGAATCGAGTACCATACCCCTTTGAGTCATAAACATGATAAGGGGTGTGGTGGTACAAACATTGCTTTGAAATGCATTGCCATGCCTTGTTTTTTCCTCTACTGCTGTCAAAACAGGTTCCTGCAAGAAGATATGGACGGTCGGCCATCTCCAGTGCCGACCGGCTATCCATTTTTGGCCGATCACTTCATAGATGGTCGATGACCACTTACCTTTGGCCGGTGACCATTTCCCATGGCTGGTGGCATTTCCCAGTGTTCAGAGGGTGTACCT